CACGTTCAGCAGTTTGGGTTGCCAGTTTATATTGTGTATATATATATAGATGTGATGCTGGAAAGTGAAGGCTTGCTGGTGTTCACAGTACTTGATGTAAAGCCGTTCAGCATCCATTTAACAGGTACCTAGCTAAGCTGGAGCAATCTTGAGCATTCGCACTGCATATTTCTGGGATCAGAAGGTGCACAAGTTGCCAAGCTGCACGTTGGTTTCTTTGCAGCTGAAGCTGAACCAGTATGGCAGGCCCCACACTTCGGTAGGGAAGAAGGCCAGGCACCGGAAAGGAAATGACAGCCTTACCTCAAGATTGACAGATTAATAGAATGAACGCTATAGTTATATATATATATAAACATCGCAATAGCTATTTAGGGGAGTTCTGTACTTCCAACATTCTTCCACGATGCAGATGATGGGCCAAAAACTTTTTTCTGCCAGTCCAGGGGAGGGGCTCGGCCTGGCAAACAATGCCTGTACAGCATTGGCCAATGTTGAAACGATCCATGATTTTGTTTATTCTTATTTTGTTTTTTGAAATAGGCAACTTTTGCCCCCCTACAACTTTATTAAGTAGGCGCCTACTTAATAAAGTAAAGGCTAAGTTAGCTCCTAGGTATGACGCAGGATAGCACTCGCAGCACTCGCACTAATCATTTGGTTCCTAGATTTTTAGGGAAACTTAATGCGGGTACTGTCCTGTTGCAGGAGATGCTTCTGCAGGGCCGCCCCTCATCGATCACACTTGCCTGTGGGTATTGACCCCCAGTTTTGTGAAGACACTGGGAAGTGGATGCCACAGTCATCTCCACTCACAACGATGCAAAAGCTTTGAAAGCTTTGAAAGTCCAAGTGAGTGAATCAACTAGCTAACCTGCAGAGCATTTGAGCAGCTTCAAAAACCTCTATGATGAAAAGTATGCAAACTGTAATCTCACATTCTTTCGCGAAAGCCAAAACGCAGATCGCGAAAGGTTCGCGAAAGCCCCGCGAAAGAACCCCAGAAGAACAGCGTGGCGAAAGCTTTCGCGAAAGTCGAATTTCTTGTGCATGTCGTGTTGTTTATGTGGGTGACCATATCTTTATGCAGGCAGCCGCAGCAGGCCAGCCAGCCAGCCAGCCAGCCAGCCGCAGCAGACCAGCCAGCAGCAGCAGCAGCAGCACTGAAGAGCAAGTGTTTCAGGGGAAAATCGAAAAGCCCAGACGAATTTCCGCGAAAGCCGCGCGAAAGCCTCGCGAAAGAACCGCGAAAGTCGAAAATATCCGGGAAAGGTATCTGGCCCCAGCAAAAAGCTTCAGCAAGTTTTCCTCCTCTTCTCATGACAACAATAATACTTGAACGGTGCTGCTACAACTCCTTGTGCCAGGATGTTGCCGGAAAGAAATTTGTTTAGTTTTGACCACCCTAAGGATAACTTATATAGATCAATCACTTTATTGTACAATATCACTTTATTGTACAATATCCCAATCGAATTTCCCAATCGAAAACGAATCGCCGCGAAAGCCGCCGCGAAAGCCCCACATAACACCACACCTTCCGCGAAAGCCAGAATGCAGACCGCGAAAGCTCCGCGAAAGCTCTGCGAAAGCAAACCTGGATTATACAAAAAAGTAATAGGGGTTTTCGAAGCTGCTCATTTGTATATGCCTTTGTGCCATCATCCAGTCGGATGATAGGCCATAGGCAGTATGGCCCAGTATGGCTGTCACAAGTATCACCGTCAGTAAAAGGCAAGAGTTTTCCACGGTGCTCCAAACAGACAAGCCAGTCAGGCACCTGATGCTGAGGTGGCCATGGAGGTTTTGTCCCAGGAGCCCTTCAACCTGTCGCTGCCAGACCTGGTTACGTTTTATGTCACTTGACTGCCACAAGAGATCGGACATGTCCTTGCAAAGCAGCCTTTGGTGGACAATTCTGCTGAGATGGTTGGAAGCTGACAGCTTCAATACTTGGCACAAGGGCAACCCCAGCGTTTGTCTCCCCATTTCCTCCTTTTTACCATGTGGGGTTGAATGGCTCTCGAGGCTGAGATGATTTCCCAGCTCCATGTTTGGCACAAAGATCTAGAGGCGGGTTGAGACTCGACATGGGTTCATGTATGTGCACCAATCTGTGAAGTGTCCATCTACTTGCTTGTTTGGGGGTTCACTCATAGGCTGCGGGCCACAGTCTCTTCTGCTCTTGATCCAGTGCAGGAAAGGCTTCCAGCCTACCTGCGAGCAAAGCAGTGGGTTTGGCCATCTGAAGAGGTGGGTTGTTTGCGAAGTAGTTTCAGGTATATATGTTTCATGAAGTTTCATGATTCATTCCATTGAGCCGAGTTCTATGATGGGGTGAATGTCCTTGGGACTGTTTCAACGGCCGGCATCCAACCCACAAGCAAAGCAATCGTGTGAAAAGGGGCTATGCAATATGTGAGATCATAAAGGAACGACATTGTTAACGGATGACAAGACATGATGCAGTGTTAGACAACCCACTCCAACAATAGTATAACCGGCAGACTCCAGACCTTAATAAGTTCATTTTTTCTTGGGAGGCCATTTACATTGCATTGATTGTTCCAGTGTCTGAAGCTGCTTGCAGGTCGTTGTGTTACAGGTCGTTGACAGGCCGTGTCACCGTGGGATGTCCAGGATGTCCACCTTCATCTCTCGCAAGTGGCTCTGGTGGTGCTTGCCAGCTGGCTCCGCGAGGCTCAGCTCCACCAGCTCAGAGCTGGGCTTTGCATTTAGTATATGATTTATGTGTTTAAATTGTTACGTACATGTTTTCTAGCCCTACTAATTATTACGCTAGTAACTAGCTGACAAAGGTTGAGGTTGTGCTAAGATATGACTCTTTTGGAACATTTTATATACCTGGTTGTTGCTGGCACAGGCAGTGCCCAGCATCTATTTCTGCAAGAGTAACATTGAAGAGGATGAAACCCCAGGGAATGACCTTTTATGAGCGGTATGCAGGTTCAGGCCTACCATGGACAATGACTCGTGCACTGTTTCTGAAGAGGATTAATTTGGGATTGGAGACGTGGGACCAAAGGGCCTGGGCGCGAAAAAGCTCCTAGTAGCGTCCTTGTTCCTAGTAGCGATGCCCTTTGCTCCTAGTAGCGTCCAGGGCCCATTGCTCGCATATTTTGTATGATTTTGTATGCATGAGGCAGAACGCCTATGTGGCAGTTCTGGGCCTGAGAGGGAGAAGGCAGAACGCCACTTTGCCCAGGCTGGTCGCTCAGGATGCGCGTTTATTGCCAGATGAAGACGAAGAACGAGAACAGAGAAGAAGAAAAACCAGAAGAAGAACAATAAGAAGAAGGACAAGAAGAAGAGTTAAACGAGTTTATCACTGTACACATCTTGAAGGACACAATCACAATTTGCATACTACACATTGAAATTTGCACTAAAGTATTTGCCCCTTTGCAAACTACCTTTAGCCATGGGCCGGCTTAGTTGGACAGCAGGCATGTTTGAGAACATATTTGCTATTGAGATTCGACCAAGCTAAACTGATTAATTACGCACATCTCACACACATATATATATATATATATGCTTGGAAATGTCTCGGGTAGGTTTGGCGCCGTTCAGCTGATAGCTTGCTTGTGGGCCTTTATCTTCGCTTGAATGGCCCCAGACTCAGCGATAAGTCTCAAGACTGGATTATTTAGCTTGCCAATGAATGTAATTGTATGTGGATTCCTATTCGCAATTTGATTTCCGAAGAAGTGCAAAGAAGATTCATTTGTTCACTCTGCAATTACTGAATTTCCATATGAGCAGACAGTTTACCCCAAGCGAAAATTGGTTATAGCAAGACGGATCGGATCTACTTGCACGGGGCCCAAGATCTTGTTCTGCACAAATTCAATGCACATGGTACCAAGCTCTCCATCAAGCGGACCAGCGGTCGAGACAATGGGTGCGATGAAATCGATGGATGACATACACTGGCCTGCCATGCTGGATAAAGATGACGACTTCTACTTCTTAGAGGAACACTTTTGCCGCCCCTGGCTGCTAGAAAGAGCTTCGCCTCAAAAGAGTTGAGATGAATGCCATCGTTTTCAGGTTCAAAACTGGTGCCAGCTCAACGCCTACTAGTCGAGGCCAATGATCCCATGCTGCACTATGCTGTAAAAGTTTTTCCACTAGCGGCTTCCCACGTGCTTTCGAAAGTCTCAGGCGTATGCGGCGTATGACCTCACCTTCCTTAACGGACAAACCGGATAGTCTGAGGATGCAGGTTTTGGGTTGGCAGAAGATTGACATGTGTGAACAACATTGAACAGCATGTGTGGCATGATACATATGTTGTCATATATATATATGATTCGCTCGCAAGCTTTCCAAACAGGTTATCCGCCTGGAGAAGTCATGCCGACTCCTACTGGAACGAGTGGTGCGCACTACCTCGTCGATAGAATATGTTGATGTGTTCGATGCATGTATTGCCTTGTGAAACTCCCAGAAGCGTGTAGTATGTGGCATATGATGTGGGAGGCCATCGCTATTAGGTTGGAGGCCATCGCTAGTAGGTTGGAGGCCATTGCTAGTAGGTTTGTTGCGATCCACAGCTCCCCTGATTTGTGAGGATCGTCACTGTAGGTGTCATGCTTATTTCTTGTAAGACTTAATCGCTGCTAGCAACTCAAAATTTCCAGTTCTCCTTGTGCTAACGTCATTAGTAAATTAGGAAAGAACCAAAGCTTTATTCTTGCAAGCCACTGTTGTAGTAGTACTTTACTCTGCTGATTCAGAGAGCCTGCTGCAAGGCATATCTCCCTGACTCTCCGCTCCGTCCTGGGGTGGCTGATCAAAGTTAGGCGAAAAGAGAAGCACCGGAAGTGGACTGGAAGATACTGGAAGTATCTTGAGTGGGTTCCATCGGACTTGCCACACGATTGAACAGGTGAAGGGCTCACGAATATACTTTCGAAAATAATACTTTGTTTTTAAACTATATATATAGTGTAAAGTTTAAACAACGAAAACAACACATATCATTTTACATAGCTCTGGAGTAGGTGAAGCCTGACAGATGCAATGCCAGCAACGACGTTGCACAAGCAGCAATCTCACAGGTCCTACGTCGAAGAAGGAAGACCAAATGATGGGTGAAGGCTAAACATAAGGACCATCCAACACTACACCGCTTCAATCTTTGAGGTTATTTTCACCTCTTCAATCCTTCCTATACCAGCCATGAAGAGGTGGCAAGGGGTAGGTCAGGTGTTGTGGATGTTGAGCGCAAGGGTGCAAGTTGTGGGATCTAGCAAGGTAAGCTTTTGCACAATGGCAATGTGGAAGAAAACACACATCTCTATATATATATATTTATGGTATCTATATATATATTGGATTCAGCCCCTTGCGAATCGCCTCCTGATGCCACTTGCCTGGACAAGCTTTTGCACTGCTGCTTATGTCAGTATGTTTTTGCATTTATTCTTTGTGTAGACGATGTATTATACAATGGATAGAGGCTATTCTGCTATCGTAGCTGCTGACAAGGTCCGCATAATTCCCACCCTAAGAGCTTGTGGGCTATTTTGGCTCAAAGAGTCCTGTCCCTGGCACCAGGCAGCACTAAGGCATTTTTGTCATCGTGCAAGAGTCAGTCAACAAGCAGCTGAAGATCTTCACTACGCCAAGCTTTGAACCCCTCAACAATCATCAGAATGGTTCGATGTGTCACCAGCGGTCACCATGCAACGAACGCGAGGACCATGGCAGAGAGCAGCTCCACAGGACGTGGCACGGCAGCAGCCTCTGTGGGAGGAGTGGGGTTGCCCAGATGATCCCATTGACAAGCTGCTCACCAAGGACAGCTGACATGACTTGAATCGAATTTTCACAAAGTTTAACTTGTAAATATGCTTACATGTTCACAACCATTGTTTGTCAAGGGAACGTTGCAGGGATACTTTGCATAAGGGAAACACTCCACATCCCAATCCCCTTCCGGTTGAACATGTTGTTCCTTGTGTTCAGGTGGTACCCTTTGTTTTGAACAGGTGTTCTTGCTCAGGAGCCGCATCCTTGCTTGCACCCTGCCCACCCGCCCCAGATGGGAGCTGTGGTGAAAGCGCGAAGAGGAATCTATCGCACCATCCCAATGGATGGCTGTCTAGGGGACCGGGGTTGGTGCCAGGTGAGGTGCTCCCAGCCTGGCACCACCCCTTGGAGTTGTCGCCAAAAGCCGTGAACTGCTTTGGGGAAGAGGGGGTTTGGGCTAGGAGTGATAACATGTACCCTTTTTTGAGATAACTCACGACTTAGAAGAAATTTTTAGATTAGCACCCTCACAGTTTCCTCACAATGCCAATTCTTTCTCACTAAGTCACGCACAGCCTTGGCTCGACGGTCCAACACCAGGAGATACTGTACGTGAGCTGTCGATAGGGAAGCAACCTGATTGCCGTGACCTTTGCGTGACGTGTGTCCTTTTGGCAATAGCCTAAGTCGCGCAAAGCACTTTTCAGGCTAGCGCTGTCTCGGTCTGGTAGATCAGGGAAGTCCCAACGGTCACTCACGACTTGCTTATCTGGAATGGGAGTGAGCCAATCTTGCTACACTTTCAGCATGTGTCATGCAGTATCTCAAGATGATGTGAGACCATCATACTGTCATACGAGTGACCACACAAAGCCTGAGACAGCCTGAAGCAACAAGTTCAAGAAAGCTGAAATACACCTTTCTTGTTCTTCTACCTCCTGCGTCCGAGACAGGAGCGGCGCGGGAGCAAATTCAGGGGCAAACAGCGGTGGGCGCAAGGCCTCTGGAGGAGGCACGCCTACGTTCCAACATGTTTTAACTGGATCAGGCAATCAGCCGTGTAATTCATAGGGTGATATGGATCAGTGTGAACACGATGAGTTGGAGGGAGGGGACTGCTTGGAATCCTTTGCCACCAACTCAAGTTTGCAAAAAAACATATTTTGCTGTGCTGTGCTGTGCTGATAAGCAATGCCGCACTTTCAACATGGCAATTTTGCTTGCCAGGTGGCATTTTGAAGTTCTATTCGGACGACTCTCCTGGATTGAAAGTGGGTCCCACCACAGTGCCCAATCAGGGTCTACAACTATTCTTTGAGCACTTTTGCTCGCAGAGAGTCAATGAACCAGTGCCACAGTATTGACGATATGTCAGAATCCTTGCTGGGTGAGGTACTTGTGCTTTCCTTGGTTTTCATGGCAATAGTGTGCTCATTGCACATCCTGGGCAAGTTCAGAAGTGGATAAGGCACTTTCAGACTGGTGCTTCAAGAGATGAAGGGCGGGCCTGCTTCCCCTTCAATTCCAGGAACAGGCAAAAGGAACTGACAGCCGGTAGCAGAGGTGGCTGGATTGCACAAATATAGGAAGGTAACGAGACTACAGCTTGCAGCCAGCTTCGATGCCTCGGGCTTACACGAGACTCTGGAGTCAAAACGACTAGCTACTATAGAAAAGATTGCTATAGAATATAAGCATTTGTTTAATGCCACTTTTTGACGAAGGTGTTTAGTGAGAGAACTTCCAAGCCGTGAGCCCATGGAAACCCCGTTTGGACAGGGATGTTTTGACTCATGCATAGCAGGACCACATGACATGTACTTTCCTAGTGCACCGTGTCAGTCAATTCCTGCACTGTCATTTCTGAAGTTCCTGCAGGTGATTCCAACCTCACGAAGGAAAGGGCCCAGGGCCGAACACAAGGCAACGGCAGACAGTCACAAGTTCCAAGTTCCAAAGGCGCTGGGTGGTGTTAGCGCAGTAGTGCTGTTTCTTGCCAGTTAGCATAACGGCCAGGGTATGTGTGAGCCGTTCTCTATTAGGAACCTCTAGCTTTTTCGCCAGGAGTGTTCTTGCTGCGTTTCAGTCAAGGTGCTGTCACTCTTGAAGAGGAACATACATGTTTTTTTTGTAAGGGGACTTTGAGATTCGCCGGCAGGGACCTGGACGTGCAATGCACAAAGACACGCGACGTGGCGAACGTCACTGGTGGAAAAGAAGCCTGCGAAGTGCAGCAGACAACGTTGTGGAGCTTGGCCGATTTTGAATTGGACATCAATGTCCTTCGTACGACTCCCTACTTGCAATTCTTTGACTTGAAAGTCAAGAGCTACAAAAGTGCTCAAGGGCGTTTTATTGGATCAATCAAGCACTGAAGGCCTTCCTCTGGGGTTGTTTGGATTCATGAGATTTCAATGGAAAGTTGTGAGCCTGGTACAGGATTCTTTTCAGTGTCAATCAGTGTTCCAGGTATTCCCTGCATGGCTGGCTGTCACAATGTCTCCGCAGATTGTAGGCTTTGAGATGCAGCAACAACTCCGTTAGACAGTTTTTGCACCTCTCTTTTATTGTTGTCAAGTTGTAAGGATAAAATGCTGGGGTTGTGTCCTTTCTTTTGGACGCTTGGATACAGGATTTGGCCTTCGCCTTGGAACCCCTAGAAGGATGGGCAGGCAGTTGGCACGAGACAGGCAATAGACTTTAGCACACGTGTTTGCAGGCAAAATGTCTAGGCAGCGGCATATGTTACAATATTATATATATATATGTCATTACAATGTAACATGCAGAGCTGTCCAGCCTGCTTGGCGCATATCATTAGCATTTGTCAGCCTAATCTTTTGCTGCAAGTGCTAGCGCAAAAAAACAAAGCCACAGCTGGTAGCCATGGCAAATCAGGGCCAGGACAGGTACAGGTACAAGACAAAACGAATCCCTCGCATCGTAGTGCAGTTTGGGAGAGAAACTACCATGTAAACACTCAATGGGACATATTCCAGACTTGGAGCATTCGGGCAATCCTGATTTCTATTAAATTGAGACGTAGAGGGCATTGCACACGAGCACCAATACTTCAGATGAATCACATCAGAATTTGCATGTTTGTAGTTGCCTGAATGGAGCAGGACAGGCTAACACAGGCTGTTGATATGGAGAAGAAGGCATGGTAACTGAGCATGCCAAAGTGTGAGAGATGAGTCTTGAGGGCATCCAAACTGATGGACTTTCGAACGCGCTGCCAGCAACAGGAGCAACTTAGGTTCGACTGACTGACTGGCGAGAATGTTGAACATCGGTATAGTAGACAGTCATCCATGAGTCCATGAGCTTTGCTTCTACCCTGGCATGAATTTCCCTTGATGTGGCGGGTGTTTTTCCACATGAGCATGCAAACAATCTTCAAGGCACTTGTCGCCAAGCCCACAAAATCGTTGATAGCCTTTACAGTGCTTATATACATGTTTTGGCTAGTGACCTAGTGCAAGACCTTTTGCAGATTTACCTATCATCATGCGGAGCATGACATTAAAGGGCAGTTCCCAATTGAAGCGTCTACCAGACAAAATTCTGCAGACTGTTACAGTTGAATCAAACAGTTTTTGTGGGATGCTAAAACGCTAAAACCACTGTGTTGATCACTGCCGCTGTCCTATTTGGATGGAGCTTGGCAAGATGTGCCGAACGAAGCCATGAGGAAGCGCAGAATGACGCCAGACATCGAACCGGGGTTCAGTTACAAAGGAAGGCTTGCTAGCCAGGACTCCCACCCAAAGTATTGGAAAACTTGAAGCTTTCTCAAACAAGGACTAAAGTCAGCAAGGAGCAAACTTGAAGGAGACCTTCAATCAGCAGAGTTGCTTCTTGCGCTCAGCGAGCATGATCTTGAAATGACCTCATGCTCAGCGAGCACAAGCTGCCACATCGCTTGCCTACACCGTGTACTTCTCAGCCGATAATTGGGACATGACGTGACGCACCGTGACATATGAACCGGTGGCTTTGCAAAGTAAGGACACGTAGGTCACCTGGAGGTACTCAACTACGCAAAACGCACATGCTGAAGTAGGTACTAATTAGCCTTTGAGGTGGCAGGATTCAAGCTGACGAGAGAGTTTCATGTTGTCTTTTCCAAAGTGTTCGGATTCTAACACTACAACGCCAAGCTTTGTAGATTGTAGAGGTGCAACTTGCAATGTTCGAAATGTATAGATCCTGCATCTCTTTTTGGGCCAGAAATGCACGCATTGAAACCTCGAGACAATAGACGCAGACTTTCCCGACAGCTATTTGCCCCATGGCAAGGTCACTCAGACAGCAGTACTTCCACTTTCACAACGACAGGGATGTAGGACGAGTGTGTTTTGTTGTGTTTGGTATGTTTTCTGTTCCTTTTCTCCTTTTCCGAATGTGTCGAAAACTTGCCACTTCCGAAATGGCTGGAGCACTGTACAGTGACCTCAGCGTCTTGGCAGGAGAAAAGAAGCTGTCAACTAGCTTCAGCCTTCCCAATCTTTCAGAAGCTTGGATTCGGCACTAGCAGGGTCAACAGCGTCAATCTTATTGACATTTGCGACCAATCCTGCGATATGTGAGGCTCAGAGGTCAAAAAGGGTCTTGATGTACAGAACAGCCGACTGGTTCCTTGCAGACACCAGCGACTCGTGGGGTCAGACTTACGATTGATATAAGTCTTACGCGAGCGGATTGAGACTCGGGAGTATAGCACCAGATGAATCCAGGCTGCTCAGAAAACGTTGAATCACTGAGGAGAATCACACTTATTTGTCACAAGATGTCCAGGCTGGGGTTCTGTGAGGCTTGCGAAAGGTGTATGGAAATCCAGGCCAGGTTTCACACACTTTGTTAAATGCAGGTGGTTTTGACAGGGCATAAGGCTTGTGAGATCTTCATCTTGTCGGACACAACTGCAACCTGTCTCTGTGTGAGCCGTCATTGAAGTTATGTTTGGTTCAAAACCGGATTCTGGAGGAACACACTCAGACATGACATGAAATATCGAATTCCGAGTTCCGGGCGACCACACTTTGCTGTCCATTCACTTTCTTGATTGAACAATTGCCACGGCCGCCACAGATAGCGAGGTGTTAAGCTTCGAGGAGCAGTCCGGTCCTGCCTGGAACTCTCAATAGCATCCTTCATCTCCGGTATTCGTGGTTCAACAAAACAGCAGCTTACAGTCAAAGTGAATTGCAAATTGCCATCAACTTGTTGCAAGAGGAAGGCAAAGACTGAAATTCTAATTCCGAACTGGAACTTGTATCAAGTGCCTCAGGTGGCAAGGGGTGCAGTCTACCAGATCTCCCCGCCGTACTGGACCCAAGAACTTGAGTACAAAAAAACCGCTTGATGATGTATAAAACCAGAAGTGGTGGTTGTGAGAGTTGGTGGTTGCACCTGCCTATTCTTGAAACACTCAAGCAAATAGCCAAATAGCAACAAAAACACTGCGCATTATGCAAGTATTGGACATGTTTGACGCAGGGTGTTTTGGAAAGACAAAGATAATGTCAGGGCCACTGAGTTGCACATGTTTTGCGCATGATGGGAGCATTACAGACGATACGGAGCTTTCAAGACATGCCATGCCTGTTCTTGACCAATCATCACACGCAATCATGCAGCCTTGCATTTACTTTTGTTGACCCCAAAAGATGGCACGCAGCTGGGTCAGAAGGAGAAAGTCCTTTTCAAAATGTAGTACTAGGGCGACATCGTGCCAGTCATTAAGTACTATTGGGAAGGTTGGATGAATGGAGGGACAATGCATTGGGAATTGCACATGGTCTTGCAATTGCAACACACTTCGAACTTGGGTTTTTCAGTTAACGCAATTGTCTCAATGG